TCTAGATTTTTGATTTTGAGATAGGTTCTTGCTCTGTCCCCCAGGCTGGAGTGCAGTCGTGCGGTCATGGCTCATTGCACCCTTGAACTTCTGGCCTCGAGCGATCCTAACTGTCTCAGCCTCCTCAGTAGCTGGGACTAGAAGTGTGCGCTACTATGCCTGGCTAATTTTTTTATTTTTAGTAGAGATGGGACTTGCTATGTTGCCCGGGATGGTCTTGAACTCCTGAGCTCAGGTGATCCTCCTTCCTCGGCCTCCTAAAGTGCTAGGATTACAGGCATGAGCCATCGTGCCTGGCTAGATATATTTTTAATATAAAATCTGGTGAATTGAAATGTTGGCAAGCTTCTAAAAGTCTTTTTAAAACTTTGTGAGTCTAACAACCATTATCTGGGGGCAAGTTTGACCCACAGGCTTCAAGTGGTTAACTTCTGGACCCCACAGGCCCGCCCTCCGTGTGTTTGAAGTCAGGTGTCACACCCTCCGCCTAGTTAAGCAGTCCCATGTTTGCACAGCCCGAGCTTCAAAGGCAGGAACTGAGCCTCCCTGGATTTTTTGAACCCTAGAGCCTTGCACAGTGCCTGGGCCCTGCTGGGTGCCAATGCCTGTCTGTTACATTAACAGATGATTTCATTCATGACACATGTTGTAGTTCATTCACCACTTCTGAATGCTCCCTGGTTTGTCTCTATCTTTAAGGGTGGTCCCCAAAGGCCTGGGCGTGTGGAGCAGAGTCCATGCTTTGGACTGGAGGAGGCTGGCACTCGGTACCCATCCCACACTCCTCCTGGGGAGCCTTTCTGTGGGGGAGAGGCCAGAAAGCCAAATACTGCATTTCCCAGACTCCCTTGCTGAAGCTGTCCTCACAGGGTTAACAAGAATTCTCACAGAATATAGCTATAATTCAGCATTAATCACTGCACTTTGACCCACTTCCTTGTAACTGAAATTCACTGGATACTGACCATTAGCATTCCCATTATTCCATATAGATTTCTGACTGTAGAATCATTAAAGCTTTTGTTTAAGAATTGCTTAAGATGTTTTCCAGATCTTAAATTCCAGCAAAACAATTGACGCTAGCCAGTTTGAAGGCCCCCACAGAAGAACGGGATCTGCGTGAGAACACAGTTTCTTCATCTCCCTGTCCCGTGACTTCACCCTGCACTCTTCCACCAATCAGTGATCTCCACACATCAGCCCACACCAAAACCCTTAAAAACACTGGCCCCAAACTCCTCCGGGAGACAGATTTGAGGTTTCCTCCCATCTCATTTGGCGGCCCTACAATTAAACATCTCTCTCTGCTGAAACCCGGTGTCTACGTGTATAGGCTTGCCAGTATCGTGCAATGTACCTATTATGGTTAAATTTTGGCTTGGGTTCTGGGTGTGCTTTAGGTTCAGCCAATCAGATGGCATCACACGAGCCAGGGAAAGCAGAAGTGAGGTGAGGAGAGGAGGGGGATGGATGTTGGCTGTTTCAATGCTAAGCACAGTCCTGGTGGCATAGAGCTCTACCACAATGTTCCTGGCTGGCTAGCCACACTGCGGGGCAGGGTCTTCATAGCGTTGTCCTAGCAGGCATGGGGTCACTCTGAGGCCAACAGCTGGGGCAGTAACTCCCTGATTCCTGGATTGCAGCTAAGGTGACACCTTCCTGATGCTGATCCCCTGCCTTCCCAAGGGTGTCCTAGGCAGCTGCTCTCCTGGCGGGCCCAGGCTAAGTGGTCATGCTTTTGAGGCACCATTCCTAGAAGCCCAGCCCAGAGTCCACTCCTCATGCTAGCCCAAGGACTTTGTAAGCACCCGACTCCCTGCACTGCATTTGTTTCTGCTTAAAATAGCCTGAGTGGTCTCTGCTGTTAGGCACTGACTGACCCCTGACTGCTACAGTGTAGAAGGACAATTACAGCCCTCGAGGCATCAGGAAATCAGGAAATTAGCTATGATTAGGCCCTGTGAAGTGTGGGACCACAAGGAGAGACTGAGGAGGATGCTAATTAATCTTAGGCCAAGTTTTTTAAATTGCACAGACTCTAGGGCCAGCTCTTAAGCCACAGTCTAAGACACAAATATGGCTCCTGATAATAGAAGGCTCTCAAAACGACTAGAAGAACTGTCTTAAGTGAGAAGTGGAGAAAGGCCTCATTAGCAACAAATTAATATTCATTGCAGGGGACAAAAGGAGGCCTCCAGGCTGTGTGTCCTCCAGGCCTTGCTCCTCAGCACTGAGATCTGGCAGGGACACCCTTCCCCAATTAGTCAATGACTTGAAGATGCCCCTGTGGGGAGGCAGAAAGACCACTGGGTTTGTAAGCACAGGCCCAGAGTTCAACTTCCAGTCTGCCTTCCTCCTTAGTAGCTATGCGACTCTGAGAAAGTCACTTTACCTCTCTTGGTCTTGATTTCTTCAGTAGCACAATGAGGACATTTTCTGACCTATAGGGTTATTGTGGGTGGGCTGACAAAGGGTATGTGAAAGCATTTAACTATAGTCCCATACATTTAGTACAGTGTGAAATGGTATGCGGTAGTAGTTCCCAATCTTGGTGAACACAAAGTTAAAAAATAACAACAGGCCTGGCGTGGTGGCTCATGCCTGAAATCTCAGCACTTTGGGAGGCCGGGGCAGGAGGATCACTTGAGGCCAAAAGTTCAAGCCTGGGTAATATAGTGAATAAAAATAAATAAAAAATATATAAAAATCAATAATATATTTAAATTTTATTTTATTTTATATAAAAAATAAAAATATAGTAAAAAAATAAATAAATTGTAAAGAGAAAAAATTACAGTAATTTAAAAAATAACACTGCTTAAGCCTCAGCAAGTCAGAATCTCCGGGGGTGGGGCCTGAGCATCTATATTTTAAAACCTCCCTAGGCCATTTAAATGTACAGTCGGGGCTGAGAAATAAAATCTCAAGATCCCAGCCAACTGAATGAACCCCTTCTTGGCCAAGGGGACCCCAGAGAAACCTTAAAACTGAGTTCCCAGCCATGATAGGATGGGAGGTCAGACATGCCTCATTATATCCCCTCCCTCATTACCCGCCAGGAGGTTTTCTTTTCTAAGGGTTAAAAACAAACCAGCCCTTTCCGGCTGGGTGCGGTGGTTTACGCCTGTAATGCCAGCACTTTGGGAGGCTGGGGCAGGCAGATCACCTGAGGTCAGGAGTTTGAGACCAGTTTGGCCAACATGGTGAAACCCCATCTCTATTAAAAATACAAAATTAGGTGAGTGTGGTGGCAGGCACCTGTAATCCCAGCTACTTGGGAGGTTGAAGCAGGAAAATCGCTTGAAACCGGGAGGTGGAGGTTGCAGTGAGCCAAGATCATACCACTGCACTCCACCCAGGGTGACAGAGTGAGACTCTGTCTCAAACAAAAAAAAAAGAAAGAAAGAAACAAGCCCTTTTCAAAGACTCCACCACTAATAGCAACCAACAGCCTGCCTGCTGCCCCTCCCTTCTGTGGTTACTACACAACTGACCAGCATTTCTTCCTGGTAAGAGACCACTGACCATGGAGTGGTTCTGACCCCTCTATGGAGGATGCACAATGAGGGTTTCCGTGTCTCCTGATTCGCCTTTTGACAGAAGGCCAAAACCTCCACTCTCAGATCCTGCTAATGCCGCCATTTTTTGACGATGGATCCATGGAGAGGCATGAAGCTCAACTGCACATGTGCATATGTCTCCGTTTATAAATATTCATAACTCCTCCTACAGCTTACTGAATATGTATATTGGGCCACCTATTCAGCATAAATCCCTGTCTTATCCCTCTGAACTTCAAAGTGCAGGTTTCTGGCTTCTGGCCTGAGGCTGTGTTTCCTAGCCTGCCGGAATGGCCACCCGGGAGGGAGGCTGCCACCCTTTTTGAGAAATAAAGCTTTCCTTTCCAAGTTTGTGTACCTCGTCATGCTTCATTTGACGGGGCTGGGACCTGCTGGTCCCCAGTAAGGTGTGAGTGACTACGAGGTAAAATATCAAGAACTATATGAGCAAGAACACAGAATTTGGGGCAAAGGATCTAAGATTGACTCTTGATTCTGCCACTTCTTAGCTGTTGACCTTGGAAAACTCACTGAACTTTTCTGAACCTCCATCTCTTCAGCTCCTTATAAAGAGGGACGATGTTGGAACGTACTCTACAGTTCTGCTGGGAGGGCAAAGGAGACGAGTTACATGGGAGCTGAGCCTATGCCTGGTCACTGAGGTAGATGTTCCGAAATGCAAGCTCCTGACACCAGCACACCAGCTGCAACCCAAAATGGCATCTCGGTTATATGGGGCAGGGGCTTTGTCATATGCACCCACTGTATCCCTGGCATCCAGGACTGTGCCTGGCACATAGGGGATACTTAATAAAAAAAAAAAAAAAAAAAAAAAAGAGCTGAATGAATGAGTCATCATGATGGGACTGTGAGTCTGACCTTTCTACACCCCCCTGTGGGGCTGGAGTGGCCACATCCAAAGGGGAGGGCCATGCAGCGGAGAGGTCTCTCCAGAGGTCAGTTCCACATGCAGAAAGGGAACACGACTGTGCCTGGCTAGACCCACCTACTCCCCATAGGGTGTTTTTTTTTTGTTTGTTTGTTCGTTTTGTTTTGTTTTGACAGGCTCTTTCTCTGTTGCCCAGGCTGGAGTGCAGTGGTGCGACTGTAGCTCACCGCAGCCTTAAACTTCTGGGCTCATGCAATCCTCGCACCTCAGCCTCCTGAGCAGCTGGGACTAGAGGTATATGCTACCACACCTGGCGAATTTTTTATTTTTATTTTTAGTAGAGATGAGGTCTCGCTTTGTTGCCCAAGCTGGTCTCGAACTCCTGGGCTCAAAGTGATCCTCCCACCTCACCCTCCCAAAATGCTGGGATTGCATAAAAGAGCCACTGCGCCTGGCCCATGGGGGTTTTAAATGCTCTGATTGCATTTCTGTTCCCACAGCCACCCACACTCTGTATTCTAAAGCATGGGCTGGGGCCACAATCTCCAGACCTGGTGCCATCCTCGGCGCTGGACTTTACTGGGGGCTGTCCGTGAACCGCGTCTTAAGCCTTCTTCAGCTTCTCGAAACAGAGTTCTTCGTCCATAATCTGCACCAGAGACGAGGGAAGGAGACTTGGTGAGGCACTGATGACAAGCTCACAGTACTGGGTTGGTGTGTAACTCAGGTCTAAAATACGTATCAGTGTGCCCAAAGTCTTGTGTATGAGGACATTGACTACAGCACTGTTTGTGGCAACAAGACATTAGAAAACAAGCTAAATGTTGGGCAAAAAAGGAATGGGTAAATAAGTTCCAGTATATCCATGCCATGGAATAATATGTATAGTACATACTCAGATCAGACAGATCTATACATACAGAGAAGAGTCTCTAAGCTACACAGACAAGGTTCAGGACAGCCGGTACAAGAGGTCATCATTTGTGTAAAAGAGGGTAGAGGGTGAATCTCTTTGCTGAATGAATGAATGAAGGTACTGCTGGTGTTCCAAGTACACAGATTCCTGTTATCTCTTCCTCCCTGAAACCTGGACCAGGAAAAGCTGAATTCTCCTTACTAGCAGCAGGTCTGCCTCCACCATGAAAACTAGGAGAGCCACTGGTTTCCCTCTTTGCCCTGGGGGCTGGGGAGCTCAAGCTACACTTTGAGTTCAATTGCAGTGGCTCTCCTAGGAAAACATTTCAGGAATCACTTTCTCCTCTTGCCCTTTTGTTGTTGTTTTGACTTTTACTATATATATTAATGGCTTGGGATCTTACCATGTCTGTGAGGCCATAGATTAGAATAACACAAATCAAAGTTACTGTGTGCCAGAGAACTTACATTTCTTACATCATTTTATCTTCCCAGCAAGCCTGCAAGGCAGGCATAATTATTCCCATTTTATGCAAGAGGTAACTGAGGGTCAGAGAGGTCCTAACTGCCTAAGGTCTCAAAGCCAGAAAGTGGCAGAACAGGGTTCATTCAAGTCCAGTCTGCCTCATTTCAGATCCTCTTGTAACTTGCTTGGTAGCACACTGGCCTCTCCAACAAGGCAGCCTACCTTGAAAGGCATTCTGACAACTACTTGGGATAAGCAGTCTCGCCAGACCCATTTTATTTTATTTTTAAAATATTTATTTATTTATTTTGAAACAGGGTCTCACTCTGTCACCCAGGCTGGAGTACGGTGGCATGGTCATAGCTCCCTGCAACCTTGACTTCCTGGGCTCAATGAATCCTCCTGCCTCAGTCTCCTGAGTAGCTGAGACTACAGGCATGCACCACCATGCCCAGCTACTTTTTGTATTTTTTGCAGAGACAGGGTCTCACAATGTTGCCCAGGCTAGCCTCTAACTCCTGAGCTCAAACGATCTGCCCACTTCGGCCTCCCAAAGTGCTGGGATTACAGGCAGAAGCCACCATGCCTCGCTGAGTCCCATTTTAGAGATGAGCAAACAAAGGCACAGAGAGACTAAGTGGCTTCCCCATGGTATCCTGACTCCACGTGCTCTGCTGTTTCATTCATTCAACTGTCCAATCATTTTTGGTGTCTATGCTAGGCTGGGTTGGGTATTTTTCTATTATACACAAGCTTCCTGCGGTTTTCTTATAGGGCACACGAAATCCATTTAAAGTAGGCACGGTATGGATTAACTAAATGCAGAAATGAGAAGTGGAATCAAATATTACACAGGGGTTAGGTACTAAAGTTAAGACATATCAAGTGAAAAATCAGATATAATCCAAAATTTCCCTAGACATTTCCTTAAAGTACTGACTTAAGACCCAGGAAATGTAAAAGCTAGAAATTAACTGCTTTGACCGCCTTTGCTCTGGGGTAGTAGAGGCCAAGACTAGTTTAAAAAGGAATAAAACAGGATTTCTCTTTCTCATTCTTATGCTCTTTCAGGCCATGCAGATGCAGTTAACTTGTGTTCATTGTTCACATGCCCAGGATGTGGTTCCACAGTCCCAATTTTTTTTTTTTTTTTTTTTTTTTTTTTTTTTTGACAGAGTTTCGCTCTGTCACCCATGCTGGAGTGCAGTGGCACGATTTCGGCTCACTGCAACTCCGCCTCTCAGATTTAAGTGATTCTTGTGCCTCAGCCTCCTCAGTAGCTGGGACTACCGGTACATGCCATGCCATCATGCATGGCTAATTTTCATGTTTTTAGTAGAGACAGGGTTTCACCATGTTGCCCGGGCTGGTCTGGAACTCTTGGCCTCAAGTGATCCACCTGCCTCAGCCTCCCAAAGTGCTGTGATTACAGGTGTGAGCCACTGTACCCAGCCCCTAATTAATTTTGATTAACAGAGCTGTGACTCAGCCTGGAGGGCCTGTGCTCACCGTGTGTCCCCTCCGTGTGGGAGGCACTTCTGGAGAAGTCAGAGTGAATGGCTTTCCGCGGTGACGATTTCAGCTCCGAATTGGCACCGTTGACATAGACAGAGAAACCTTGCTCCAAGTGCTCCAGCCTCAATTGCACGGGGTCCTTGCTTTTCAAATGCTTTAATATCCTGAAAGAGAAACAGTGGCTGTTCCTCCTCATCATTTGAGAGTCTGGGCTGCTGAACCCCCAAGCCAGGAGCAAACTGCTGTTCCCACAGTGAAGCGTCTCTAATCAGAGCCCAGGGGGCATGTGCCCAGCTGTGTGTCTACAAACAGCCTCCAACAGGCCCATTACCCACTTAGAGAAGCCACGAGGGGGAGACAGTTTGGGGCCCTACAGGGAAGTTTCTGCAGCTCTCATTCTGAGGTTCAAATACACATTAGCGAAAAAGAACACACCCAGTTCATACCCTGTGCTGGCCAAGGCAGAGAGGAGGCGTGTGTGTACACACTGCTATCATACAGCCTGGGCTTCCTGAAAATATCCCGATTTTATGCGATTTCATTTTGTGTGAAACTTCGTTTGATGTGTAACAAAAAGTGGTTTTTAGGCTCTCAGGCTTTGTGAGAGCGATTTCACACCATCCATTTACAAATCAGAAAACATCTTTCGTCAGACCAGGTGGGCTAATGCTTTGCTTCAGTGAATAGATGTGTTCTCGAAACACTCACCCCTGACATTTCAAAGGCCATCATTTCATATTCTAATGCAGTTAAAAAATATATCAATGCGGGCGTTGGTTCAAGGTTAACAATAGGATTATCATGTCTTTTGGCTAAAAGGCAGGAGTGTGGCCAGGTCCCTAACTTAGCTTTCACTGAAGACCATCCTTACACCTTGAGCCTGGTCCTTTACCCAATCCTGATGTCACACTACCACAGGCAGGGTACAGTGTCCTCTTCGGCCCCCAGAGAACTGCTTCCATTGGATGCCAGACTCGCCTGCATTTTATACACAGCTTTAGACGCCCCTCCATCAACTACATTTATACAGACAACCAGCCAACCTAGCAACAAGTGTGCATCTTCTTCAGTAATTAAATAAGTGCCGATCAAATTAGCACAATTTAAATTTTAAAAAATAATAGCAATCACATAAAAGGTGCACACTGTATGCTCAACTCTGTTCTAAAAACCTAAAGTTGATTCTCATTATTCGCAGTACAAGTGGTCTAGAAAGTCACCATGAATTCTGAATTAGCCAATTTGGAACTACTGCTCCTAGAGGAAATACAGGGTTAGGTGCCTGTGAGTCTCTGGTCACATTTTCATGAACCAATCAACACAGAACCTTGTGTATGTGTGTTTCTGTTTAAAGATGCCTTATTACATTGTTGATTCATTCACACCAAACTCACAGCCAAAAGCACTATCACTCAAGCCTGAACAAAGCTTCCCAACATATGTATTTTCTTCATAAGGCACATCACAGCCTCATGCCTAGGAACACCGAACAGCATTTCTGCACTATGTCTGAGGCCAGTTTAAGCAACGAAATCACCAGTAGAAAGCACAAAAATGTGAAAAACATGGCACTATGTACACTGCAAAAAGGACACTTGCTTATAGTATGAGAGGCAGAGAATTGCCTTGTTCTATATCGGCTGGGAACGTGTGTATCGGGGGACTAAAAATGTTGCCTCTCTGCATGTGTCTGCAAGTGACTGCAAAAATACACAAGTATCGACTGTGGGGTTACAGATCAGTTTTAGTGATGACACAGACTCACAGACAGAGAGTCAGAGAATAATGATGATCAACTATATGAAGATGTTCCTCTTCACAATAATCCTACAGGGTAATCCCTTTTTTTTTTTTTTTTTTTTTTGAGACAGAGTCTCGCACTGTCGCCCAGGCTGGAGTGCAGTGGTGCGATCTCGGCTCACTGCAACCTCCGCCTCCCGGGGTTCAAGCAATTCTAATTCTCCTACCTCAGCCTCCCAGCTGAGGTAGCTTGGACTACAGGCATGTGCCACCACATCTGGCTAATTTTTTTTGCCTGTGTTGTTAGTAGCGACAGGGTTTCACCACGTTGTCCAGGCTGGTCTTGAACTCCTGACCATCTGCCCACTTTGGTCTCCCAGAGTGTTGGGATTACGGGCATGAGCCACTGCGCCTGGCCGTAATCACTTTTATTACCTCCATTTAGTAGATAAGCAGTATAAGGCATAGAAAGGTTAAAGAACTCGCCCAAGGTCGCATAGCTATTATAGTATGCGGCAGGGGTAGAATGCAAACTTAGGCAATTTGGCTCCAGAGTCTACACCGAAACGAAGACAACGTGTAAAGCTGGCAAGATGATGTTGAAACTGGCAAACTTAGACACTGCTGGTAATTCATAGAACCTTCTCAGAAGTAGTATGAAAATATAGAAAATGCCATATGTTTGGTCTTTGCCCAGTAAGCACATTCCGGCAAATTGTTCCTGAGCATATGAACTCTGGGCAAGAAGATAATCAGTGTTCAGTAATAACAAAACCCTGGAAGCAACCCAAATGTCCGACACCAGAGAAGTGGAAGCTGCTATTACACAGATGCTATCATTACGAAGACTCTATAGAAACATGGGGGACTGTGATCTGTTCAGTGGGGGGCGGGGGAGTGGTGATGAAAAAGGCAGAATAAAAATGATACATAGGCCAGGGCACAGTGGCTCATGCCTGTAATCCCAGCACTTTGGGAGGCTGGGGCAGGCAGACTGAACTCTTGAGCTCAGGCGTTCTGAGATTAGCCTGGGCAACATGGTGAAACCCTGTCTCTATAAAAAATATTAAAATTAGCTGGGTGTGGTGGCGTGCACCTGTGGTTCTAGCTACTTGGGAGGCTGGGGCAGGAGGATGGCTTGAACTGGGGAGGTTGAGACTGCAGTGAGCCGTGATCATGCCACTGCACTCCAGCCTGGGTGACAGACAGAGACCCTGTCTCCAAAAAAAAAGAAAAAAAAGAAAGAAAGAAAAAAGAAAAGAAATGAAATGAAAAGAAAAAGAAGGCATATGTAGCAAAGGTAAAGTTGGAAAACTGTGTGTTTGCGGACCCAGCGTGGAAGGTGATGTGGAAGGTGATAAATGTAAAATGAAATAGGTTGTTGAGGGAAGGTGGTGGCATTGTGGGTGACTTCTTTGTTTATTTTTTAAATGTTTCTTTAGCGGCTGATACATTCATCTTTTCACCAATTGTGGCAGGAACATTTATTACAGGCTGCTTATCTCTTGCCAGCCTTGGAAGCCTGGGAGATGCCTGATTGTTGGGCAACAACATAAAACAGAAGAAAAACACAAGTAACTAAGAGACGATTTCCAAACACAGCAATAGCTACGCTTGCAGGAGCAAACAACCAAGGGACAATGTAGGCACCGTCAATCTCTGGGGAGCAAGCGGGAGCCTAGGTCCCGGGAGGCCTGTGGCGGGACAGGGCGGGGAATCTGATCACCCAGGCAGACAGCCTGCCTCAACTTCTCTCCCCACCTTCTGATGCCACATTAACAGTCATGGCATCCAGTTACCCAGGCTCTGAGGCTGGCAGTCCATGGGTGCCCCTCCTTAAGCAGAATGATTTATGAAAATGTAGATTTATGAAACTGATAAATTAGGAGATAATTATTCAGACTGTGAAAGGAATTGCTAAAGGAACTCCCCTACTGCAGCGGAGTGCATCAGTAATATTCAGGTGGCATCAAAGAAAAGGGTTTTTTTAAAAATTGATAGCCTACTTTGCATAAAAAGCTGTCCTGGGCCCAGGGGACTCAGATAAATCAGATTCCACTCCTGCCCTATCTAAAATCGAGTTCTTCCCTCCTGCTGCCCTGCCACCCTCCACTGGCTTGCTGGTTCAACTTTTTCCATGGCATGCTATCACTGGTTAATATAATATTATGGATGTATCTGTGTATTTGTTTATTCTTCCTCCCCCGCACTGGACTCTGAGCCTCTGTCCTATGGGCCATGGTGCCTGCTGAATGAGGAAAGCTCTCAATGGCTATTTCTTTCTTTTCTTTTTTTTCCGGGTCTTGCTCTCTTGCCCAGGCTGGAGTGCAGTGGTGTGATCACAGCTCACTGCAGCCTTGATCTTCCAGGCTCAAGCAATCCTCCCACCTCAGCCTCCTGAGTAGCAGGGACTACAGGTGCGTGCCACCACACCTGGCTAATTTTTGTACTTTTTTTTAAAGACAGGGTCTTCCTGTGTTGTCCAGGCTGGCCTCGAACTCCTGGGCTCAGTGGATCCACCCACCTTGGCCTCCCAAAGTCCTGGGATTACAGGCATGAGCCACTGCGTCTGGCCTCAATGCCTATTTCTGGAACAAGTGAGCCCAAGGATCTCAAGTGGGGGCAGGGGACATGGATGAATACCCTAGTGCTCACAGCTACCATTCATGTGATGCACATCACACCTACCATTTCCATTTTATGCCCATGTTGGCCTTTGGAATCACCTTCACAGATGAGGAAGTGAAGGCACAGTGAGTGGGGAGTACAGGGTGTGATGAGGCAGAGTCTAGGGACCTGACATGGCTGGGGCTGGTGTGGTTGGGGAGGATTCTCCTCCTCGTGGGCCACCGGGGCAGGGACGTAGATGGCAAGGAGGACCCAGTGAACACAAAGGGCAGGTCATCGTGTTCTCAGGGGGCAGCAGCCTAATTGTGACTAGGCTTATGACTGAGTGGTCTCTGAGCAGTGTGGCTGCCATGGCACTACAGATGAGCCACATGGTTCCTCCAGATCTCGGTCATCTCAGGTCGCCTGAGGGGGTTCTCCAAGGATCAGTCATTCAATAATTACCTGGATGTCAATTTGGGGAGAAGGTTTTTATATCGAAAGGATGATAATCATAATAAACATTACAACAATTAGCTGGATGTCGTGGCCCACACCTGTAGGCCCAGTTACGAGGGAATCTGAGGCAAGAGGATCACTTGAACCCAGGGGTTGGAGAGTGCAGTGAGCTACGATTGCACCAATGCACTCCAGCCTAGGCAACAACAGAGTGAGACCCCCATCTCAATCAATCAATCAGTCAATAACTGAATGATGATGATAATGATGTTGATGATGATGATGAACGCTGGGTTGGGTAGGGGGCTTGCTATGGGCCTTCAAGAGCCTTGTCTCACTTCACCCTTCAGTGATCCTGGGATTGAGGTTATGTTGGCCTATTTTAGAAATGAACTTGCCCAAGGCTAGAGAGTCAAGGAAACCTCCAACCTGGATTTGAGTCCTGGCCTGTGGGGCTGCAGTACTTGTGCTCTCCCCTGCTCCTTCCTGCTGTTCCTTGACTTTAGCACCAGACATCACAGAGGCTCTGAGCAAGAAGAGGTCACAGGAGGGAGCACTGGCTCGCAACTGGGGGCTCCTTGGAGGGGGTGGCATTTGAGTCCAGTCTTAAAGGGTGACGACAGGGAAGGCAGGGGTGCAGAAAGCCTGCCATTCCTCCCCAGAACCTGTAGGTCCCCTAGGATGCTCCACAGAGCTGCACATAAGAGCATCTGTGCAGGTGGAGGAGGTGAGTGTGGAGGACGGAGCTCAGTGCCGGAGGCTCTGCCATTTCCCCAGCCTGCGTGACCTTGAGCAAGTCTCTAAACTTCCCTGGGGTCTGTTTCCTCTTCTGTAACAGGAGACTAAAGATGCTGGCACCTCCCTGGGCTGCTATGAGGACAAAAGGACAGACTGGGTTAAAGCTCTGGCTCAGATAAAGGCCCAGGCGAGAGAACCAGATGCTGGTTCTCTCCTTCCTTCTTTCTGCCTGGATCTTCTCCTGGGGCTGCAGGCACTTTTGTGGGCAAGTTTTCCTGTAAGTTTCCCTTGAATGACCTTTCTCAAGGACCAAATGATCACAGCATTGCTGGATTCTTGGACCTGGAGAGCAAATCTGGGTCTACTCCCTACAGTCCAGGGGTGGGTATATATTACAGCCCCTGTCTGCCGTCACCTCTTCAGATACAAGGGCCCTCATCTTCTCAGTCCATCCTCATTACTCAGACCTTTGATCACGCCGCCTGCTCTTTCATGAATCCTGTCGGGCGTGATTACCTCTTTCATAAGGCTGAGTGACAAGAATCACTTAGAGTCCACTGGGACAGGCAGCTGGGAGGGTTTCTGCAGGGGTAAGGCAGGGCTGTCACGTCTCCAGATTCTGTCCTCCTACTCCCTGCCCCCAGTCCTCTCCTGAAGCACACAATCACCTTCTGCTTCTTTTGTCATAGTTATAGGTGGCCTTGTGCTCACCCTGCCACTACCTGGGGAGTTCTTCAAGGATAAGAGCTGTGTGGTGGACACCTGCTCTCTCTGCCCGGCCAGAATCTCCCCCATCTCAGATCTGTGGGTACAGCACCATTCCTTCTTTCACTCCATGAAACTGACTCCACTGGGTGAAACTGACTCCACTGCACAATTTAGTGGGGTGGCCAAGGAATGGCCACTAGACTGTGCGGGACACAGGGAGTGACTGGCTTGTATATAGTTAGAATGTAGGTCCCCTCTAAATCTCATGTTGGATTGTAATCCCCAGTGTCGAGGTAGGACCTGGTGGGAGGTGACTGAATCATGGGGGCAGAGTTCTCATGAATGGTTTAGCACCATCCCCTTGATGCTATCCTTGCGATAGTGAGTTCTCCCAAGATCTGGCTATTTAAAAGTGTGTGCCACCTCCCCCCACCCTCTCTCTCCTACTCTCACCATGTGATGTGCCTGCTTCCACTTTGCTTTGCCTTCTGCCATGAATACAAGCTCCCTGAGGCCTCCCCACAAGCCAAGCAGATGGCGGCACCATGCTTCCTGTACAGCCTGCAGAATCGTGAGCCAATGAAACCTTTTTTCTTTATAAATTACCCAGTCTTAGCTGTTTCTTTATAGTAATGCAAAAATGGCCTAACATAGCTTGGGATGGAATTGGGCCCACACCAGGCCAATGGGAACCTTCCTCAGCACTTTCGCTGGAAGCATTAGGAAAGATCCCTAATACTTCCAGGTAGGATGTACGTAGGGGCTTTTCCTGGCTGTCTTGGCCACTGCAAGTGAAGTACCTGCCTGAGAATGGCTCTAATATGGGAAAACGAGGGTATAGAAAATGGAGAATAGTTGATTTTGATTACATCATCTAAGCACTTGGATCTGCCTATGCCTGAGGCCAAGAGTATCATGATGAATTTCTTTTTTTTCAGAGACAGTGTCTTACTCTGTCACCCAGACTGGAGTGCAGTGGCATGATCATAACTCACTGCAGCTTGAACTCCTCCTCACCTCAGCCTCCTAAGTAGTGAGTAGCTACAACTATAGGTGGGTGCCACCACACCTGGCTATTTAAAAAAAATATTTTGGAGACAGGGTCTTGAACTTCTGGGCTCAAGTGATCCTCCTGCCTTCGCCTCCTGTATAGTTGGGATTACAAGGAGAAGCCACCGTGCCCAGCTCGATGTTGGATTTCTTAATTTAATGAGCCAGTGTTTCCTAGCTGCTTAAGTCCATTTACCTTCGGTTTCTGTCTCTAACAGCCAAAAAACACTAACTAATACAGTGTGTGTCTTCCTTATCACAATGCTTCCCTTTGCATTAATGGCAATACCAGGCACTTAGAAGGTACTCAGTGAAATCCTGCTGAATGAATAAAAGAAAAATGCTGCCCTGCTTCTTATGGGCAGCTGTGTTCTAGGTAGATCTCTGTTCAGAACTCACTCCAACGATTACATTCCCCCTTCTCAGGTTACAGACAATCCAGATAAGCAGCCTGGGTTTTCATCTCCCTCAATGTCCAGGGTAAAGCTCAGAGGCTAGTTTTCTATCAGGTCCTACAACTAGATTTCCAAGTAAATTGCGGCTCTTCCCACAAAATCCCTCCTCACTTAACTTAGGGCCACTGGCAATCCAGCAGGTTTTTTCTCCTCTTGATTATTTATGACAACATTAAGCAAAAGGTAGAGTCCAGCCCGGCTCCACCACTTTCTGGCTGTGAGATCTCGGGCAAGTCGCTCACTGCTCGGAGCCTCCACTTCCTTGCCTGTAAAATGGGTGCGGTAACTCTGTCCCATTGGGTAGTGTGCAGATAAAGTAAAATGATGGGGTGAGGTGCCTGGCATATGGCTGGCACTCTGCAAAAGGTGCCTTTGAGATTTCACCGACGATGGCTCACAGGGATTCCCATTCTTCACAAGTCTCCACTGGAAAGTGTTTCTTTCCAGCTCTACCTTCTAATTTCCTGTCATCGTGACAGCTCCCTCTTGGTGACAACACATCCCCCCAAATTTTATAGCAACTCAGTTTTGATATAGCTTTTAATTGTCTTTGTGCTATAACCTTGTCTCTGGAAATTCTCATTTATACTATGGGCCAGTGCCTCTTTGATTGCACACTTATTGATCCCCCAATTAATGAGAAACAATTTGTTCATAAGGAACTGTGACAGCCTCTCCCCAGACAAGTCACATGCAGATGATTAAACGATCACCCAGGTGTTCAGTGGTACCATCCAGTCTGCCAGAGATTGAATAAAAACATCCTGCTCCGTGGCATTAATGATGATGGAAACTCACGTCGGTCTAATCAGCACAAGCCTTCGCTGTTCTAGTTTGAGGCTGATGTGGGGATGGAGGTGGATGAGCGCAGAGCTGCTGGGCACAGAGGACACTGTTGTGGTGTTTCTGGCTGGCCCTGGAGAGACTGTCTGTTCAGAAGATCTCCACCAGGGGTGGTGCTGCCTCAGTGGGTGGGTGTCTGGAAAGCGGGTGGGTGCTGTCATAGGTGGAATTTAGGGTCTTAATGAAATGAAGTAAAGGGGCTGGTGGGTAGGGACGCTAAACTCCTGCAATTCGTAAGATTACAAAAACTTGTCCCATGCAACATGCCACCAGAGCCCCTATTGATAACACCGAGTCCAGTCAGTGAGACCAGAGCTGAAGTCACATGCAGGATGACACCTCCCTATCCCAGACTCTGTTGTCTTCGAGACCCTAAGCCCACTCCCATAACACAGAGACCTACATTCATACCCATCCCCCTTTCTTCCCCCTCCTCCCACCAGTTCTGTGGGCCTGCATTGTTTTTCTGTTTGCTTTGTGCTTTAATTTGAATTCATTACCAACATTTTAAAAGTCAGGAGATTTCACAGGCCAAATCCAGATCTCCAGCTTCTCTGGCAGACTTGGGAGGATCAGGACCTGGGGGAACTGTGGTCTCACAGACAGCTGGCCTGGGCTGAGCAGCTTGGAGACAGGAGCTCCAGGTACCCACTGGCCCACTGAGCCGGCTCCACTCACTGCCTGGTCATCCCTAGAATCTGAATTCGCAAATCCCCAGCTTATCGCAAGGTTTGAGGCCTGAAGACAAACTGCGGTGAACTGAAAATGAACTTCCTCAGCCCTACGAAAGAACCGAGGAATGATGCCTCTTTCAAACCAGACCATGATGCTTTGACCTTGATCACTACACACTGGACCTACTGCAAGCTTTTTTAAGAACCAGCACTCCAGAGACAAAATCAGTCCTACTTTAACTTCAAATGACTTATCGACCAACTTCAAACACCAATGTAAAATGACTCCATTTTTGCATAACACGACATGATTATAGGCTCAGATTTCAGGGATTGTCAAAGCCTGTGCGATCACAGACTGGGCTCTTCAGGTGGTTCTTGCACAAGCCCTGCCAAATTCGAGCTTTTTTTGACAACTTTATCTTCTCCCAGAACAGGAGCTGGGAGGGAAGAGGCGGTACTTACACATCGAACAGTTTGCTACAGCTCAGTCAAAAGATGCAATTAAATCAGTGAATGGAGAAATAGGAGCTGGGGTTGCAGATAATATTCTAAGCCTCTGAGTGGAGGGGGACTCTGCATCCCATTCCTATGTGAGGCAGGGCCTGCCTGCTGTTAATAAATCTAAATAGATTTTTACTTGGCTAGTATCAAGGGCTGCCGTCGAGCGGCTTCTCTTACCGGTTCCTCTGCTGAAGCAATATTAAATACTCATCATGTTTCTCATCAAAGTCTGTCACCATGTCCTTAGCGTAACCCTGAAATGAAGAAACAGAGCAGTGTGATATCGGAATGCAGGGAATCGCTGACTGAGAGCGCAGGTGCGGCACACACCGGCACAGGAGGCTGAGAGGCGGAGGCTGACCTTGACGAAGGCCCAGCTCCCCCGGCGCATCGCTCCAGCGACCCAGAGCCCCAGAGATTGTCTGATGGTCCCATGGGTCTTAGGCGTACACACCTTTAATTGTCTATGAAAAGGAGAAGGTCAATTCTCGCCTCTCACTGCTCTTCATTCCTCCCATGCCCTCTAAGATCAAGGGCTCTGACATGATTTGGGCTGTACTGTTTTCTCAACACTCATTATTTAGTTATCTTAATTGTCATAACCAGATGCAACCCAAATCAGTTGTTTAAAAGGGGATCTTGGACAGGCACAGTGGCTCATGCCTGTAAAACTAGCACTTTGGGAGGCTGAGGTGAGACGATTGCTTGAGCCCAGGAGTTCCAGACTAGCCTGGGTAACCTAGGGAGACCTTATTTCTACAAATAATTTAAAAATTAGCCAGGCATCGGTGGTGCATGCCTGTGGTCCTAGCTACTTGGGGGGCTGAAGAGGGAGGACTGCCTGAGTCTGGGAAGTTAGAGCTGCAGTGAGCCATGATTGCACCACTGCACTCCGGCCTGGGCAACAGAGTGTCTCAAAGAACACAAAGGGGAGGGGAATCTTATTTTCCCCTTGTCATTTCAAGAGAAATATATGTTAATTATAAACAATGCAGTCGTTACAGAAATCTATGACCCAGACTGGAGTCCCTCTTGGAGTGGACATCTGTGGTTCTGTGTCTCCTCTTCTGCCAATGGGACCCTGGGTTTCCTTTGGGGAACTGCTCAGCCCCTTCCTGCACTTCACTGGCTTCCTTAGATGACCTTGAAAGTGACTTTGTTCTTCTCTTGGTTCACATGACCTTGGCCTTGCCAATCAACATAGGGCTTCCCCCAGTCACAGTGATTTACCACTTTAGGGGTGAACCAAGACCCGAGTCAGCCTCGGGACTTTGCTGATACCCTTGGAAAAAGAGCTGCTCTCTTCCCATTTGAATGCTGTGCCAGTGAGATGCAGGCCTGGACCTGCCTGAGAGTGAAGCTGATAAAAAAGACAGCAGATCCAAGAGATGCAGAGGCAGATTCTTAATGACATAATTTGAGTCCCTGGATTCACCTATGCCTAAAGAAGTATCTGGACAATTCAGTTATTGCCTTAGAAGTTTCAACTGAGTTTCTGTCATTTGCAGACAAAAGAATTTTAAGTAACACACTATAATCTGACCATCAGAGATAATCCCTGGTATAATTTATTACGGCTGGGGGAGAGTAATGTATAATAAACTACACATATTTAAAGTGATGTATGCATGCACCAGTAAAACTGCTATTGTAATTTGATATGTATATCTTCCTCCGGGTGCTTTTCTTTGTTCATAATATACAAAGATACATTATCTACATATACACTCTTTAAAAAGCTTTTTCTTGTTTTTTTTTTTTTAGTAGAGATGGCATCTCACTATGTTGCACACGCTGGTCTCTAACTCCTGGGCTCAAGTGATCCTCCTGCCTTGGCCTCTCAAAGTGCTGGGATTACAGGCATGAGCCACTGCCCCCAGCCCCATATACTCTTCTATTTCTTTTGTTTGTTTTTTTGCTGGGTTTTTTTTTTTTTTCTTGGTTTTTTTTTCGAGACAGAGTCCTACTCTGTCACCCAGGCTGGAGTGCAGTGGCGTGATCTCAGCTCACTGAAACCTCCATCTCCCAGGTTCAAGCAATTCTCCTGCCTCAGACTCCCAAGTAGCTGGGACTACAGTCACCTGCCACCATGCCCAGCTAATTTTTGTATTTTTAGTAGAGACAGGGTTTCACCATGTTGGCCAGGCTGGTCTCTTAACTCCTGGTCTCATGTAATCTGCCTGCTATGGCCTCCCAAAATGCTGGGATTACGAGCATTAGCCACTGCGCCAGACCTCATATACTCTTTAAAACAAAAATGGGATCATACAATAAACAATTCTTTGCCATTTGCTGTTTCTTTTTCCTTTCCTTTTTTTCTTTGAAATGGAGCCTTGCTCTGTGGCCCAGACTGAAGTGCACTGGCACAATCTTGGCTCACTGCAACCTCTGCCTCCCAGATTCTCCTGCCTCAGCCTCCTGAGTAGCTGACATCACAGGTGTGCGCCACCACACCCAGCTAATTTTTGTATTTTTAGTACAGACAGGGTTTTGCCATGTTGGCCAGTCTGGTCTTGAACTCCTGACTTCAGGTGGTCCTCCCGCCTTGGCCTCTCAAAGTGTTGGGACTACAGGCGCGAGCCACCGCACCTGGCCAATTTGCTGTTTTTTAACTTTGTTGTCAAGGGGAGGATTAACAGTACAATATCAGCTTGGCACTGGTCCCAAGTTATAGCAAGTTATGGGGATTAAGTTTTAAATGGCAAGTAGGGCATTTGTATCAGAAATGCAGTTTGTGTGGGAACCTTAATGCTTCTCCTGGGAAGGAAAGAGAGAGAAAAATAGAAATCTCTGTCATTCTCTTCTTAACTTTTCAAAATCTGGCTTTAGCCCCATTATTTTGTTAGAATTCTACCCAAGAGAGACCCAGGACCACCTTAACTTAATGTAATAGGTCTTCTCTCCATCCTTTCCAATCGCTCTGAGGCACGGGAAACTAATCACCCATCATGCCGTCCCAAGTTGAGAATGACGGGCATTCCTTTCCTCTCGCTCTCATCCTCATGATAATCATTAAGATTCCCACTCCAGGCCGGGCACAGTGGCCCACGCCTGTAATCCCAGCACTTTGGGAGCCTGAGGCAGGCGGATCACGAGGTCAGGAGATCAAGACCATCTGGTTAACATGGTGAAACCCCCTCTCTACTAAAAATACAAAAAATTAGTCAGGTGTGGTGGTGTGCATCTGTAGTCCCAGCTATTTGGGAGGATGAGGCAGGAGAATCGCTTGAACCCAGGAGGTGGAGGTTGCAGTGAGCTGAGATCGTGCCATTGCATTCCAGCCTGGGCAACAGAATGACACTGTCTCAAAAAATAAATAAATAAATAAATAAATAAATAATAAAAAAGATTCCCACTCCATTTCTTTAAAAAAAAAAAAAAATAGCTGGGTGTGGTGGCAAGCCTGTAGTCCCGGCTGCTCGGGAGGCTGAGGCAGGAGAGGATGGTTTGAGTCTAGGAGTTCAAGATTACAGTCAGCTATGATTGCACTACTGCACTGCAGCCTGGGCAAGAGAGTGAGACCCCGTTTCTAAAAAATGTCCTACTTGCCAAATTCTCTTCCTCTGCATCTGTAGTGCTGAATGAGCTGCTCTTCCCATGCAGCTTTCTGCCTGTGCCTTCTCTAGCTAGCCTTCACCCTGTGCCCTCAATTGTGGAAGGTCAGTGTCTGCCTGCATCTCCATTTCACCAGTCTTGGGTTTTTCTCCCTCCCGTCTTCACTTCTCCCTCCAATTTCGAGGAAAAGAGCCGGATGTGCAGCCCAGTCATGCCTAGTCCAGGGCTAACACCCTGATGCCCTTTCTCCTCCTGCTTCCTGTAGGGCCCCAGGGTGTTGCCATCTGCTTCCCTCTTGCTCCGGAGCCTCTACTTTCCCTTCCTGACTTCCCTCTCTCTAGACCCACCCAGGAACAGGATGCTGTACCCTCATGTTCTCTCCTATTCTGACATCTCTACAACTTCTGAGTTTCACTGGGGCTTTCCTTCTGGCTAAGTTGGCCAATCACGAAGTAAGCAATAATAAGAAAGGGTGATACAATGAAATTATAAGAAATAAAAACCAAAAACAAAAACAAAAAACAAGGCTGGGCATGCCCACACGTGTAATCCCAGTGCTCTGGGTGGCTGATGCGGGAAGATTGCTTTAGGCCAGGAGTTTGAGACCAGTCTGGGCAACATAGCAAGACCCTGTCTCTTAAAAATAAAAAATAAAAAATAGCAGGGTATGGCCAGGCATGGTGGCTGACACTTGTAATCCCAGCACTTTGGGAGGCTGAGGTGGGTGGATCACCTGAGGTCAGGAGTGCAAGACCGGCCTGGTCAACATGGTAAAACCCCATCTCAACTAAAAATACAACAAATTAGCCAGGTGAGGTGGCGGGCACTTGTAATTCCAGCTACTTCGGAGGCTGAGGCAGGAGAATCACTTGAACCCGGGGGTCGGAGGCTGCAGTGAGCTGAGATAGCGCCACTGTACTCCAGCCTGGGCAACAGAGCAAGACTCTGTCTTGGAAAAAAAAAAAAATAGCTGGTGTGGTGGTGCATGCCTGTAGTCCTAGCTATGTGGAAGTCTGAGGTGGGAGGGGTGCTTGAGTCCAGGAGTTCAAGGTTACAGTGAGCTATGACTGTGTCACTGCACTGCAGCTGGTGCAACAGGGTGAGACCCTGTCTCTCTAAAACACCCGAGAAACAACAAAAAACAAACTAGCTTTCCTGGCTTCCGGAGGTGCCTACAGACACTACTCTGTCCTCCCCTGGGCCTGAGTCCTGCCTCATCCTGAGTGCAAGAAAAGCACAGGAGGCCTCAGCCCTCGGGAGAACTGGGTTTTTATGAGAGTGGGTCTGGGGAGGATTCTCGCCTTCTTCCAGAATAATAACACATAAATCGCGCAAACAGTTTATCCAGCATTTCCATATACACGATTCTCCTTTGATCTTCACAGAAGCCCTTGAAGTAGTGATTATTACCCCATTTAAGATACAAGGAAACCCTCCCATGCATCTTCCCAGAACACAGATGCTGCTCCATGGCAATTTACATAACCATTTTGAAACATTAAAATGACCGTGGATATATTATGGGTATGGAATGAAACAGTGGATGACATTTTTAGATGAAATATGGGACTTCAAAGAAATCTCAGCTTTTGCTGGCTGCCCTGGGTTTTCACCTCAAACTCTCCAGGGAATGCATCGATCCTCCTTTGCCAGGAGGGAGATGTCATCAGAAAGATTCGAGGAACTGGAACATCCATCC